GAAGCCCACGCTGGAGCAGGCTCCTGGCAGGACCTGTGGCCCCATGGAGAGAGGAGCCCAGGCTGGAGCAGGTTTGCTGGCAGGACTTGTGACCCCGTGGGGGACCCACACTGGAGCAGTCTGTTCCTGAAGGACTGCACCCCATGGAAGAGACCCACTCTGGAGAAGTTTGTCAAGAACTGCAGCCCATGGGAAGGACTCACACTGGAGGAGTTTGTGGGAAACTGTCTCCCATGGGAGGGACCCCACACTGGAGCTGGGGAAGTGTGCGAGGAGTCCTCCCCCTGAGGAGGAAGGAGCGGCAGAAACAACATGTGATGACCTGACCACAACTTCCATTCCCCGTCCACCTGCGCCACTGTGGGAGGGAGGAGGTAGAGAAATCAGGAGTGAATCTGAGCCCAGGAAGAAGAGAGGAGTGGGGGAAGGTGTTTTTAAGATTTAGTTTTTATTTCTCATCATCCTGCTCTGATTTGTTTAGTAATAAATTAATTTAATTTCCCTGAGTCGAGTCTATTTTGCCCATGATTGCTGAGTGATGTCCCTGACCCTATCACAACTCATGAGCCTTTTGTTATATTTTGTCTCCCCTGTCCAGCTGAGAAGGGGAGTGATAGAATGGCTTTGGTGGGCATCTGGCGTTCAGCCAGGGTCAACCCACCACAACAGGAAAAAGGTGTTTTGTCAGACTGTTACCTATCTGGGTCAGTATAATTAGTACATCTGTAGTGCTCTTTTTTTTGTTGACTTTGAGGAAAAATGATCTTGAGATTAAAGAATTCAATTAATGTGTGACCTTCAGTAAAGTCATCTAATGTCCCTCTGTATATTTTACATTGTATAAACAAGTATATATTGTACAGATTGTTATGTATAAATTTGTATATATTATGTAGAGTAATGAAATTTCACACCTGTCTTGTCAACTGTAGATGGCAAGTTCTTCAGAACAGTAGGCACCAAGAAGTTGTCGTGGAAAAAGTGCTAAACAGAGCAGTGTACACCAGCCAGAAAGCAAGCTAGCATTTAAGCGAAGTAGACAAACAGGGTCCAGTGCTTATGTTGTAGTTAGCAGTGGGGATGTATCCAGAATGACAGTGCTAAGAGTTAGAAATGTTTTCAGCACCCTGAAAATAAGGTGCCCTTGGATATCATGGTAACAACTCAAAATTACTGACCTCCTCTGGAAATCTCAACCTGAGAGTGTAACCCTTGATGAGTCAGTTGCTCACTTAAGATGAAGGCAAAACACACCATTTAGTCCAGTCGTAAGACAGCTTCAGAGAAACAAAAGAAAAGCTTTTTCTTCAGAGGGAGAAGTCGTTTCTGGAAAGCTCACACATACAACCTTTGGAATATGTCCATCCACTGTCATACACTTTTAAAGATTCAGATGAACGATGGTGTGCTAGTACTGATTGGCATCAGGGTATGAGGCCAGGGTAGAGGGATTCTCTCTGCACCCTTTAGGAAATCTGTCCCGGCTTAGCCTCCCCAGGAAGGTGTGGAACTCCAAAGGTGAAGCGCCATGGTCGCACTGGCGCTACACAAAATAAAATAGATTTCTTCTGCTAATGCTTATGATGGCACTGTTATTAATCTAATTTAGGAGTCTGTTATCTCACTGTTCTGGGAGGAAAGACAAAATAAATTGCATGTCACTTGCATATACACATTCTCAAAAAGCATGCAAAAAATGTTAAACTTCACCACAGATCACATACTGGGTCACTGAGATAATTTCTGGCTGGAAGGAAAGCTGAATCAGTAACTCCCCATCACATCATACAAACGTGAAATATATAACAAGTTCATTTTCACTTGGTATAATGTGGGTTTTCAATAAGTTTAAAGAAACTCAGAAAAACTGGTGTATTGTATAAAAATTGTTTTGAGTGTATAAGTTAAAGTCAAGGCATCAGATGAAGCACAGGACTCGAGAGAGAACTCTGAGCTTCCCTCTTCATGTTCAATCCTTCATTTTGGACTTTGGAGAATCATAGTGCTAGAAGCCATATCAAGAGGTGACTTAATCTGTCCTCCTTCTCTGGGATAGAATCATTATATATCTAACTTTTACAGATACCCACGTAGTGTCTTTTTGAAATTTTTTTTTTAATTAATTTTTAGTAATAGGAATTCTTCAATTTGGGGATTCTCCAATTCTTGCCACTTCCAGTACTTCACTGTTCTAACCAATAGAGGGGTCTTCCAGCTACAGATAAGAGACATACATTTAGCTGTCTACATGTAGGTGTCTTCATGTCAGGTATTATTTAAGGAAGTATTTCATTGAAGGTTTTGCCACAGGCAGTGGAACCTGGCGAGCCATTCGTTGCACTCTCAAGTAGGTGTCTAACCTAGCAGAAACCAGGCCTGCAGTGTTCATGGAGCTAGCCACATAGTTTGCTTATAGACATCTAAATTTAGGTGGCCGAAGCTAAAACCCACACAAGATACTTAATTTAAATCTCCCTTGCTGCAATTTAAATCTATTTAAGTCCTCTTTGCAGTCAGCCTGGAGAACAGATTACTCCTTTTTGTCTCACATTGACCCTCTATGTATTATTTTATTCTATAAACTGATCAACTGTATTTTCTCACAACTCATGTTTTTTACACCTTTAATGACTCAATAGTCACTTTCAAATTGTCTCCAGGCAGTTCATCACTTGCTTCCACCATAAGCTCAGCTCAGCACTCATTTGAATGTCAACTAGAATGAAAGAACCATTTTAAAAGTTATAAATTATATTCCTGTTTAAACATCTAAGTAGGATGGTGGTCTCTTTTCTGCAATAACGTGCTTGTTAACACAAGTAAGCTTGGAGTTATTATCTGCTATAATTCGGCTCCTCTGAACTTCTGTGTAACTAGTCATGACCATCCTGCATTTGTGCAACTGATTGTTCATACACTTCCTAGGTTTTGATTTCATTTCTGTATACATTTTGCCTTGTTATCTCATTTATTACAAGCCTGTATTTTTTTCTTTCAGACAAGCAAAAGCCATGTATTCCTGTAAGGCTGAGCATAGTCATGAGCTGTCTTTCCCACAGGGGGCAATATTTTCTAATGGTAAGACAGATTTTACATTTTTTTATGTTAAAAAAAAAACAACAAACAAACAAACAAACAAAAAAAAAAAAAGAAATTGTGTCCACAAAATGAGAGCATAATTAAATTTTCAGCTCTCAGTTTTTGCCCTGATGTTTCAATTTCTTTTAAATAAATACTAGCTAAATAAATATATGAACCATGTGTGTGATCTTTCAACAGTGTTACTTAATTGTAAATATATTTTTTTTTGTCTGGCTGTTTTTCTACAGTGTATCCATCAGTGGAACCAGGCTGGTTAAAAGCAACTTATGAAGGCAAAACGGGACTTGTTCCTGAGAATTATGTTGTCTTCCTCTAGTAATCTTTAGTGGACAGCAATATCTTCATGGTATCCATGGTAACAAATAATAAGCACTATGAATTTTATCTGACACAGATATGGGATCAGCCCGTTAGCTGAATGGTAGTTTTCCTTCAGATACTGCAGCTGCAGGTTACACAGCTCCCTATCAACGGAACAGAATGTAATGAAACAGTTAACAGTTTCAGTACTGAAGACGGTACTCTGTTTAAATAACTTCCATTGTTTGCAAAAGGTTGTTCTGTTCTTCTTTTATGGGTAAGGAACACTAGAGCAATAAAATCAAAAAAGTTGCTATTTAGCTGCAGGCTTTCAGGTCCTAGGATGTTGCTCACAGAAGTGTGAAATTAAGGGGCAATGCACTCTATGACATTTCTTGTCATCTATGGTTTTTAATATGGAAAATTGTGGGTTTTTTCATAATGTAGGTATAATGTAAGCTTCTTTTGTGGTCTGAATTCTCCCTTAGAAAACTCGATTCTTAAATTAGTCCTAATCATTTCAAATAAGAAATGAGTTTTCCATGAACCAGAAGTTTGAACTTCTGTTGATCATTGAGATTACAGTATGGTATAGAATTTATGCAACTGATAATAAAACCAGTTTATACATTGCCTCAGCAGTAAGTGCTCATTCAAAATGTGATATGTTTAATGAATGTTTCATTCAAATACTTAGATTTATTTGCTTCTTTCTGTATCAGTATAGATAATATTAACAACTTTTATTTCTATGATACCCATCATCTGGAAGATATTCTCAGTCTATCTCAGAACAACATCTGTAGAAAACAAGGAGATGCTGAATTTGGAATGATTGGTAGTCATGTGAAGTGGACAGTGAAAAACAGCAGTATGTTTTGAAACCTGAGATAAACTGAAACCAAGTCCTTTTCCAACTTTTTCCAGTGCAAATAAGACAAATGGCCTGTGAAGTAGCTAATTTTATAAGCTATGAATGCTGAAAGCTCCATGTAGCAATAAAAGTATTTGGTATTATTTCTCCTGACTTCTGCTAAGCTATTTGACAAAGATTTCTCCCCTTCCACAGAATAAGAAAGCCTTACTTTTCAAAGGGTTTGTATCGACCCATTGATTGCTCCTGGTAGGACTGAAGAAAAGAAAAACAAAACAAAACAAAACGCAAAATCATAAGCATCTTTCTTAATCTGAGCATCTTCCACATCTTAAGGGAAAACATGCACTGCTTGCTTTGGCTACTTACCATGCCCAATTGAAAACCAAGATATTGAAGCTCCGCATTAGTAATCCTTTAGCATTAGTGCTACAGAAAGAATTCGCTGTTTCATAGACCTGTCAAGGATTAGTTCTTTCTTCAGCAACAGAAATCAATATATAAATCTTCTGTTGATTTCTAAGTTGTACACTACTTCCAGGAAGTTTAAGGAAGAACTTCTGTTAGGACTAAAACCATCAGTAATCTTTTAATTGCTTCTTTTTTCTTTCCATAGCCTTTTTCATGTTTAAGATAGAAAATAAGATTAATTGCCAACATAAAGAAGCACATCAGAACCTTCTTTACTTGTGTGCAGTGCATGATTTCTGCAGCACGATTCTGTGTTGGAATTCGGGCTGGTGGCAAAAGGCTGCAGGATCCTTCTCCTCACTAACTAAAGCATCAAGTGGTGATCAGGGAAGGCGAGAGGCTGGAAGAGCATCCTCCCGAAAACAGTCTAGCTTTTCAGAGGGGAAGCCTGGGTAAGACTGACTGCAGGCAGTTGAGGACAGACCCGTTGAATTAGCGACTGAGTGATCTGGGTTCTTTCTTCACTCTGAACAGTTTCATTAAGTCCCAAATCATGTATCATTTCACCTTGAGACCAGACTGTGTTCATTGCATTGTGATGAAGGGTTGTTCCAGACATTGTCACTGGCAGTAAAGGCAGACACGTGTGTGCTCATCTAATTTGTGCAGAGCAGACGTGAACGTAAGTGAAGAGGTCTTTTCTCACCAGGCTGAGCCTTTCTTAGTTTTAAGGCAAGCCAAGTTTTCTTAGTGTAAGCTATGCCTGAAACTGCCATTGCTCTGACAAGATCAACATGGTTTTGGTTGTGGTTTCGCTGTATTTCACAATACAAAAATTGCAGGCTGTCAGAAGGCTTCCCTCTGGTGACCTTTCCAGGAGAAGTGCTGGTGCAGGCAAAGAGGAACAGAAAGGGAGGCAGAGCTTTGAGTGGAGGCTGGAGGCCCAGCACACATCTCACCCAGGCAGAGAAATGCAGTGGTCTGGGGGAAAATCCCAACTTCTTCTAGCTATTGCACCAGGTTCAGTGTCAAACTGACCTGTGTTGAACACCCTTTGATGACCTTTTATACCTCTTATGAGCAATTTAATTCTTGTGACATTCTTGAGGAACAGTGACATAGAAAATGCTTGCTCTTACTTGTTTTGCTTTAGCCCAATTTAAAAAGAAGGCGGGAAAACGCTAGCCTTAGGTAATCTCACTGCCTGTTTATGTGTCTGGCTACTTTCCAATGTTATGTTTTGAACCCAGCTGATCTGAGTGCAAGTTAGAGGACTCGAAGATGCCAGGTTCATTAAAAATTTTTTAAAAATGCAAAGTTCAGTTACAGATTAAATCAGTAGAGCCTGTAAGTGCTGAAGGAAAGGTTGTAGAAAGACCTGGAGGAATCCCTTTGGAGGAGAGATGTTTTGTCTGTTCCCATGCATTCATCTCACATTAGACACAAAACTGAATTGCAGGAGACAACTTCAGAAGAAACTGGATCCTATTCATTCTGCTGCTCACAAAACAAATCTATTTTCTGCTATAAGACTCTGCACTTTTTCAGACCCTTCTTCTGAACCAGCCATGACGATCACATAAATAATTTTAAAGTAGCTTGGCTTTAAAATGGCATTTCCATCTGAAAAAGTTTATGCCCATTCTTAATTACAGTTAACCACTCACTCTCAATGAGTAGGGTTTTTCATTTTCTGAAAGATTTTTTCGTTTCCTGTCTTCTGCGGTACATAACAAGCACTGTCTGTATAATCTCACTGCTGGGTTCTTCCCTGCCTTTCCAAGAGGGAGTTTTATCTCTACAAGAAGCTGTACAATGAACTGGAAAGTTGAGGAACTAGATGTTCAAAGACTGAAATGGGGGAGAGGGCGGCACCAAAGCTTGTCTAATGACTACTCTCAGGCCTGACCAAAAGTCCCTTCTGATAATTGCAAAGGATCAGAAATCCATATAACATTTAAATGTAGATATTATATCTTGATAGTGCCTTACCAGTAAATTCGGCAAGCTGAACTAAATCAGTTCATAGTATTGATTCACTGTTTTTTATGAAAGTCAGATTCACTCTATAAGCAAAGGTTGCGCAGCTTTTTTATTAGAATTATTATTATCCTTCCTAAAAGGATGCAGCAGGTTTTTTTGTCCAAATATCACTATAGAACTCGAGGTAGATGATACGCTGTGATTGCTGTTTGTCTTGTGGAAATAATGTCTGTACCCGCAACTTCTGTAATTAGCCATGTTTTTTCTTTGTTAAACCTTTTGATACACGTTGCAGCACAGCATGAATCAAATTAATAGTGTGAAGGAATGATATATTGTATGATAAATATGTAAAGTATATTAATATTTTATATTCACACTTCTTATTAATGATGATAAAGATGAAAAATATTTTTGGTGTAATTCCTATGAGTTCAGTATTAAAATGTCCTTGCCTTATTTTGGCATTTAGAGTTATATGTAACAAAACTCTTAAATTAAACCCTAGCTATCACTTAGTCCCTAACTAATCTATAAAGTTCATTGTTCGATTATTTCTGGAAAAAAAAGATGCACAGATTTGCTGACCAGTGCTATTCTATAATAGTAATAGTAACTTATTTTCCTTTTATGCATTTTCTGGTGCTAATCTCTACTGTTTGCCTGTAATTGGATTGAATTGTAATGTGCCTTTAGGAAAGATGTTAGGAGAGGAGAAGCTGCAAAATTCATCAGTTCAGAACAATAATTACAACCAAAAAAACATTGTATGACAGTAATTGGGTTTTTTTTTTTTGTTACATTTCTCCACTAGTCTATTTTCTGCTTAATAAGATCTCATCAGAATAAATAATTCAACTAAAAAGCATATTGTTCTTCATACTTCTTTTCCTAAGGCCACAGTTTGTGCAATTTTGGATTAAGTGGCAAGAAGAGAAATCCCAGTAGGGGAGCACATCCTCCAGACTAGGGTGGATCTTCTCCACTGATGGAAACTCTCAAAGCTCTAGTGAAGTCAAAGTCAATTTATAGTGAGGGTTTGCTGGCCAGAAGCCCCGAGAAAGTAAACGGAATATTCTGTTAATGGGGTAATATATGATATGGCTTGGCATTATCCTTTCTTTCAGCAGAGTGCCCTATATGAATCATTCAGTTACTGGAGATCAAGCTATAGGCCATGTTCAGTCTCGCTTTTGGTGGTCACACAGCCCTGACAGCTGCTGCTGCTGCGGCCCTTCCAGTTACTGCTCGTGCGAAAGTCAGACTGTTGATCAGGCTGGTTCAGTACAAGCTGGGAGGGCTCTTTTTTTGGGTAAGATTTCACATGGGCTTTGGGAGTTTGCGTTGTTTTGTTTTAATAAGGTGCTTGGTATCCAAACAGCTACTAATTCAATGTTGTTTTTCAGTCACTGAAGATCATAGCATTGTTTGTCTTGTCCTGTATGTGGCAGCATTTAATAAACCATTGGATTAGCCTTGTTATTTTAAGTCTAGAGAATGGTGCTTCAACCCTTGGATGTCTCAGCTGAAAGCTATTCTGCATCTGAGCTTTTTGCAAGTGTTTTTACTGGGAATTGTCATTAAAGTTCTGGCACTGAAGGTAGCACCATGATCTCAGCACTACAAGAGTTTCTGTTACAGCAAAGGGCAAAGCAGCTGAACAGGGCACATGGAAAGTTTCAATTTTCAATCATATTTATGACCATTTCGGAGGTTAGAGTTTATAGGGGTAACTTTAGATACTATATGTTATTTTAATAGGAAAGTATATACAATCAATAACTATATATATATTTAATAAAGTCCTACTAAATTATCATATTGAACTCTCTGTTTATTTTGTAGTGTGGTTTCAATAATTATCTGCACTCTGTATATATCTTCATGTAAATAACTGGCATGACATGCATAAGCCGACTTGCAGACATAATTCTATATTGTACTTTACACTTTATTTCAAAATCTGAAAAAAAAATTTTCAAAATAAAAAGTCTTTCTACACAAACTGGTTTCATTATTATTTTAAAATTTGGGCTCTGGTTTAGCCTTTTTTCCAAGTAGTGCTAATTCCATCCATACCTGCATTTTTGAGTGACATTTCACCCATGAAGATGCTTCACATAGAGGACACTGCTCCTAATGCTGAGCAATGGGCATGTGTATGAATGCTAGACAATAGTGTGTCATCTGCTGTTCTGGTCACGTGGAAGTCTCCAAAGATGTAACTTTTGAGGGGAAGAAAATGACTAATTTGGA